TTTATATGGCAAACTATATACAAACTTGGGACACTTTTATTGGAAATATTTCGAAGGGACACTTCAGTTTGAACAAAAATTAAGTTTCATTATTATTCTCAACCATTCATATGTGATTAAAAAAGTAAAGGCGACCAATTACTTTAATTCTCTCTTTGTTCTTTCTTTGCGTTTTGAGTTTACTGTAAATGATTTTCTTTTTTTTTCATTTCTACACAGATAAATAATGATATGAAAACGGAGCACATTCATAGGAACTAATCCAAATCACAACAAGATCAGCAATATATAAACGCAGAATATTCGAAGACCTGAATATTGTGGAATAGTTTATTGAAACATTAGAAAAAACTGAAAACCAAACCAACTGTGTTATGCCCATCATCTGAGTGATTGGGCAGATAAGACGCTTAAAACGGAAGTATGGAGTTTTTAAGTACATCAACTCAAGATGTGGTTGAATTAAAAGCCGGAACATCCATTGACTTAACACAATCCCAACAATTGACCAAAGAGTCAAAATTGATCGCCCAAAATTTAAATGAACAAAAGCCTGAGCAGCTTGTAACATGTTTCGTTTGTGGTAGTGTTGGAAAATTTCATTTGTTTTCAATTCGTATACGTCAAAATCCAGCTCGACCATCAGAACCATATTTTCCATTTTTAGCAAGCCATCATGAACCACCACATGGTCTTCAGCCAGTATCGGCCACGCAATCGAAAATACAAGCATGCTCAATGTGCCAAGAACTATTGCATGAGCAATGGTGAGCTTCAAATGACGAGCATCAAATAAAAATAAACATAAAAATAAACATTACTTATAATTCTATTATAGGCTTTCATTTGAACGTGAAAATCGGCCACATTTACAACGACTTTATCATTTGAAACGAGCTGATGGAAAAAAGTACATAGGCGCAGATTTAATGTTGCAAGGTGATTATGCTGCTCAAATGCTCGGTTTAAATGCGGAACATATGACGTCCAGTGAAATAATGCATCACATACATCAACCCGCTCACAGTAATTATCAAAAATCTAATTCACGTGATGCTTCACCATCACTTCGACAAACACCAACCTCTTCAACGCCACCGACCTCATCTTATTCACCGTTTGCTCAACACAAATTAAAACTAGGCGGTGTGTATCATTTTATCCACTTCAATTCATATTTCATTAATATTAAGAACTGTTATGCCTAATTTATGAACTGTATTTTTTAGGATCGCATTACACCAATAATGCAATTGTGGCACCAGTTTCTACATTAAAATCAAATCATTCGGTCTCATCAAACCCATCTCCTTCGCCTATCTATGATAGCAACAAATACAGTTCAGTTAACAATAAATCGCTTAAATATTCAACATACGGACATCGGGATGCAGTGCATACACCTCCGATGTCACATAGTAGTATGATTGGGTCTCAAAAAGCGGTTATAATCGATGATGAATCAGCTTTAGATCTAAGAAATATATCAATAAAAACATCTGCATCATTATCATCAACGAATACAGTACAAGTAAAATTTGACTAAATTTAAAGTTTTTATAATAATAGTATAATTAATCTGTAATTTTCAGCTTTCAAAATTGGACTCAATGCCAAATTCTACGGCCAAAATGCTTAATACGATTGATGTTGGAATTTTGGATCTTTCAATGCCAGACAAAAATTCAATAAATGAAGTTTGCTATGTGTGTGGCGATGAATACAAACGAGGCAGCTTACTTGAGATTAGTACCGTGGAACCTAAAGATGCTCGAGCTAGAGATAAACCATATTTTCCTATATTCAACGAATCCCATCCCCGTCCGGCACGGTCTCGACCCAAGGATCCACGTGGCATGATTCAGGCATGCACACATTGCTATGAACATTTAATGAAGCAATGGAACCAATTTTGCGTATGTTTTCTTTCAACTGTCCAGACATATATTATTTTCTTACATATTTATTAAATATGACGAAAGGAGAGAATGTATTAAGCAGAACAAAAACATACTCTCATGATCGTCATATTCAATAGATATACCATAAAATGAACATATTTTAGCTGGCTGATGTACCAGATTCTAAACGACGATATAAATTACGTCCAATACTATCCACCGGAAGAGCAACATTTGTTTGTTATACTTGCGGTATAGAAACCCTTTCATCGAATTTAGTTCTCGTCTACTGTTGTCAAAATGCTGAGAACGAACCTTTTTTTCCATTTATTAAATCAATGAAACCATATCCGAACGCTAGTCCAATCAGCCCACAGGGTGAGTAAATTTAACTGATTAATAATTGTTTACTTTGAATAACCTTATATTAAAATTATTATATTTCTCAACAGGAATGGTGCAAATATGTTTTGAGTGCAATGCAAAACATGGTAGTTCTGCTGAAACAATGACAGACAAACATTCTGATTCCGGAAGGAGCATAACTTTTGGCAATGGTGGGCGTCTTTCACCATCAGACAGTAAATCTCAAGCCAACTCTGATTCTAGTTATGTTCGCTTTAAGGTATTATATATAGATATCACCAAATTAGTTTCTTTAATTAATTCAATCCTATATTTGTGTAGCCATACGAATCGATGACGACACATTCAATATCTAGTAGAGATCGTGATTTAATAAATTCAAGAAAAGATTCTAGACCGAATACACCATTGACTCAACCAATAGGGGAAAATGGTCATGGAACCTACCCGTGAGTAACAAACTGATTTAAATGGGAATTGAAATATTATAGAAAAGATTGTCGTCTTGACATTTCGATTTATTTTAAAATCATCATCAGATCAAGGGAGGTTCTTGTGGAAAAAAATGACTGACTGTCTATAAATTAAGTCAATGTTAATCACTTTTATTCGATTAAAATTACCAATAGATGATTGAAATCGAATATAGTCGGTTAGGTTTCAGAGTTAACTAAAAGTGATTGTTGACATAGTGAACATAGTTGACAAAAGTCAATTTCATATACTTATAGTTAACCGTAGATAACTATGATAACAATCGACATTTCTCAACTCAAGTTACATGAAGACGCATATAGTCACTTATAGTTAACTTTAGCTGGCTGAAATATCAGCCATTTTTGTCCCAAATTAGTCAATTTATAGTCGCCTATGAAGTCGAAATATGTTCACAAGGGCTAGAATTGAACGACAATATTTTATGTGACTGATAGCCACATTTGAACACCCAAATAAAATAAATTTAATTTGAAGGAAAAATCTATAAACAAAATAATTTATTAACTATTGATTTAGTTGTTACATATGCAAAGGGCAATTTTCATTTGGCCAATTGGAGTGGTTATCAACAAGTGCAGAACACATGAATTCGCATGCAATGCATTTTCCATGCTTACGTGGAAGCGATAATAATGCATCACGGGTAGGGGCAATTCACTTAAAAATTACCTTTCTATTATTTAATAATTGTTATTGATTCTTTTTCGATTATTTGTCGATTATTTTAAATTAATTCTTTTCTTTTGTGATTCTCCCCTTAGGTATTGGCATGTGTTAGATGTGTAAATCATTTGGCAAAGCAATGGGACCAACTTGATGCAGAACGAGTTCCCTTGGAACATAGAAGGTAGTTTATCATATAATAAAGTGGTCCAAAAATCTAACTGTTAATCCTCTTTATTTCTTCATTTCATTTGACAAAGATACAATATTCCATCACCTGTATTAGCTTTTAATAGTAATTCTCCTAACGGATCGCGTGGATTTGGCGGTACACCTCCATCAACGCCATCAGTTTCATCAACACCAGCCAGTACATCCATTTATTGTTTTCTTTGCGGTTTACATTCGGATCTGACGCTGGCACGTCTTGTACATGCTAGCAAAGAAGGTTCTCGACCATATTTTCCGCATTTGTTAAAGCATAAATCACCACCAAACGCTGAACAGCTACGTTCAGATTTATCAGCATTAGTTTGTACATTTTGCTACCATTCGTTACTCAGCCAATGGAGAAAGTATGTTATCAAAAAAAGTTTTTAACACAAACTTTAACTATTGTCTTTGCCATCATTTGCAGACATGAGGCCACAAACACCTTAAGCCCAAGTGAGCGAATTTACAATACACATGATTATTGCTGTCACTTGTGTGGTGTTGTAACTTATAGAAAACGGGTACTTTTCAATGATTATTGTAATCATTAGTGCTTCCATTTATTTCATATTGTTACCTTTTATTCAGGTTCGAGCGTTACCAATTCGAGAATTCCCATCGATTGCTGACCGTAAGAATGATGATGCGCTTCTACTGGAAAATGGTGAATATTCGGTTGTGTGCCTAGACTGTTATGAGAATTTGAGGTAAATCATGGTATTTTATCTTGTGTAATGTGATTGCATCATCGCTTAAGAAATTTTAATTGCAGACAACAAGCTGCTCAATATGATCGGGTGGGTGTTCCGATCGAAAAACGTGGGTACAATTGGGTTCCATTGCCACCACCCCCCGAGGATAGTCCAGAAGTTACCGTAGCTAGACTGCCAAGTGGTGAACGTTCTGATAAGCTGGTACCACAAACTAAACACCAAAACTATATGAGAAGATACTTTCACATCTTTCATTTTAAAATCTGATAAAATCTCTTTTCATTTCTAGATAAATTCGAATATGAGGCAAATTATGAATAAAAAAAATAGTTCACCAAAACAAATTAACGACAAAAGAGATACAGGTATACTTTTCCATACGCTTGTAAAAAAGATTAGTTGAAAATAGAAGAGATAATAGCAGCTGCCCTGTTTTTTAATTAATGTCTACAAAAATTTCTTGAGAAAACATAATTTGGGATTGTCGATAACTTTATAACGCGAGATACCGTTTATTTACACTCCATTACCGATGATTTGGTAACACAAACTTACTCAACTTTAACATGTTGATATTTAAATAAGAAAGTTATTAAGACCGCCGAATTACACATATTCTGTTAAATTCAAATTGTAGTAATTCAGTACAAAATTCTGTATGACAAATAACGAGTAGTTTAGTGTGAAATTTAACGACTGCGCCACTGTGATAATGTTGTTTCAGTGTAAATATAGCATGTTCTATCATTGATTATTATGTTTTGATATAAGGTACGGTGCGATCGGCGCAAAAACGACCAGCAACAAGTCCAGCAGCTCTTGTGCAAGGGCAATCTATTTCCACTGGGCATCATTCGAATGTTAGTGAAGTATTGATGAAATTCATTTTCATCTGTTTTTCTTTCTTAACAAGAAATTACATGTTCTCTATATTGAAATCATTTAGATGCCTATAACAAATAATGGTGGAAGGGGACCGTTTGCTTCAGCACTTAGGAGCTTAGCTAAACAGGCTGATATCAAAGATGATGAACAAGTTGATCAAAGAGCAGCTAGTGCTGGCACAACCGGAAGTAACAGTAATATACATCAACGAAATACCATCAATGCTGAAAATCGAAGTACTGATCCTGTACAAATATCCGATGATCAGCATAGAAAAAAAGCATGCTCATCTCCACCAGAAAAGGTTTATTTTTCAATTGTATAAAATATTGAATGACTTGAAATTTAGTAAGCGTTATATGTGATTTATAATTTTAGCTAGCTCGAGTTGGTATTAACGTAAGAGCACCAGAATCTTTGGCACGAAGTGGTTTCCAACCATATCGACCAGACGAACGTTCAGCTGTTGCAGGTGTTTATTCTCCATTAGACGTTTTTCCGCCATTTAACACAATGCCTTTACCAGCAGGTTTGTGTTACTTTGGTATTTTTATGTGCACATTCCGAACCATTTAAATATGTATATATATTTTTCTGTAGGCGGACTGTTTAATCCAGCAGCATTTTCATATTCAGAGTTTATGGATCCACGTTTTCAAAATTCATTCCGATCTGCCGTTGGCCATCATCCACATGCGAATCCCATGTATCCACATTTTCCATCACATTACGCTCAGCTTTACAATACATTGTTACCAAATACATCGTTACCAATGATTCCTGGAATGATGAAAATGGTGGAAGACGAACAAAGACTGCGTTTATTGCGTGAAGAAGAACTTAGGCAACAGGAAAGACAGAAAGAGGCACAACGTCAAAAGGAAGCACAACGCGAAAAAGAACGTAAGGAAAGAGAGCAACGAGAACGGTAAGTTTATATTGATTTTATATTTAAATTAATACAGTTTAATTATCAAAAACACTGTTATCATTTCTGTAGCGAACAACGTGAACGGGAAAGAGAGAAGCGTGAGAAGGAACAAAAAGAAAAAGAAAAACGTGAACTTTTAGAAAAAGAGGAAAGAGAACGACAATTTGCTCAAATGTATGCAGCCGAAGTCCAACGAAATTTATTTTTAACGGGAATGCCTCATCCACAATTCACTGGCACTTCATCACAACGCCAAGCGCAAAATATTGGTTTAGGATTGGGATTTTCGCAAGCAGTACACTTGCCTCCACATATACCACATGCGTTTGGACAATTTAGTGCGATAGCTGGCTTCCCTTCTCTCAGTCATACATCACCAATTTCGGGCTCTTACAATTTACAGCATATTTCTTCACCAAACACTTCAGCAAATTCATTGAATTTTTCCTACAATCGAAACAATACGGCTCCATCGCCAATATCCGATGGTACATCGAAATCGCGGTCTACAGCCCCATCGCCAGCTCATAGTTCATCGAACATTCCTACTCTTTCCTATGTTCCATCTCACAAGTATCAGGACCCAAAAAAACATATCGCATCTGCATCCATCGCTCCAACATACGAAGCGTATAATATTAGTAGCGAAAAAAATACAAATAAATCAAGTAACCGCAACAGTTCAAATCATAGTAATAGTAATAATAGTGAATCATTCAAACCCGTACCGACATCGGTCGATCAAACAATTGCCATGCGCGATAGAACATCAAAATTATCTACATCGCAAATCGATGTAACGACCGACTGTAAATATAGCATTTCATTAGAAAAAGTAAAACATAACTTAGTTACCAATAACGAAAGAAACAAAACTCGCAACAAACCCATGGAATTAAGCATTTCATGCGATGCACCACAAGCCAAATTAAATTTTGAACAAATTTCACCGAGAAAACTTCATTTAAGTGATAATAATTTGAAATCGATGCATCTTGTCAATGACGAATTAAACAATGGTTGCCAGCGTTCTAATGAAGCTAAAGATCTTTCTGGGCGAAATTCCTCTTACGATTCACATCAGCCAGTCAGCGACATATCGTTATGTGTTATGGAAAAAACTGATGAATGTGAAGCCGATGTAAATCCTGCAAAAATGCATACTGTAAATCTACAAGTTGCTCGGAGTCCAGAAAACATAGCGTTAAGTGAACAACCAATTGTGACCAATACCAACAGTACGAGTTTGGAACATGAATCTACCATTAGTAATAGTGATAAACCACAAATAGCCAACAACAATAAAAATAGCAAATTAAGTAAAATGGAAAATGTTGATATGTTGACAATGAATGCTAATGTTTGGACCGATAATTACACAAAAAATCAATCGACTGATATTGATGCTGCACAATCGACTAATACAACCAAATTGCAGACTACTCAACAAAATTTGAAAATAATTGACGAACCGAATTGTGAAAGGCCAAAAATATCTCCACCTGATGAAATGGAAAAGTCCAATGATTCTAAGAACACGAAGAAATCAGATGTGGTCAAAGAAGAAGATGGTATTGCAGTTGCGGAACATTCACAACCGAAAAAATCATAGCCAATTAATTTAATTCCCACAAATGATAATTCTTTCAAACATCATAGCCTCTCAACGCACCATCACTACACATAAGTAAAAAAAACTAATTCTGTAAAAATTTACCTATGAGAACTCCCAATGATTGTAAGAATTGAAAACATGTAAAAGTATACAAACCACTTTTGGATTTGTTTCAAAAACTGGATGGGAGTCATTAAATGGCCCGGTCGCCGAAGAAAATTTGAGTGCTAGTTTTCGTGGTCAGTTTTTGCTGGCGAAAATTATTACTTTTTTCTATAATTATATAGAATTAATCAATATTAATGTTATAAAAGGAATATAATAAAAAAAAAATAAAAAGAAAATTAAAAAAAATATATATAAAGAAACAAATTTTGTAATTTTTAAGAATTTTAATTTACACTTTCTTTCTTTAAAGGGTAAGTTCTTCAAATTTTCCACACTTCAATCCATATTTGAACGTTTTGTAATTTAACCATAAATATGAGCTTTGATACCTGTTTGCAATGCCATCTGTTGATAAATACTTACGATAAGCAAAATAAAGTTCTAAAAACTGAACAATTTAATTTTTCCACTAAATTTTCCTCATAATATGTGTAAAAACTTTTGTATTGATTTTGATTGCGAATATAAAACTTCATTATCATTAGATTTCGAAATTTTTTTGTCATTGAACGCTATTTGCATAAATGAATATTTATTTATGTCAATAAATTTCAGAAATTTCCACTCACTTTTTAGATAAAGTAACGACTTTTAGCGTAGTTAAAGAACCAGCTTTGCTGGGTGTGTTTTGAAATTTTGGTATTATTGTATTTTATATAAACTTATAACTTGTTCTATTCTTCAAATAATAAATTTATTAGTAATACCAATAATAAAATTCAAAAAGATATTGAAAAATGGTTAAAAACAATGCATTGGATTTTTACACGATCCGCAGATGCTTTGAATTCTTCGAAGATGAGCCGTAAATAGCGAAATCAGTCACCTCTGTTCACTTGTAATAATTGTTAAATTTTGGTTTTTTATAATTGTTTCGAGTGTAAAATATGTTTGATTTTCAGTTGCATTGTTTACAACAATTTCCTCCTTGAAAACTTATCTGTAGAAAATAAATATGTTAAACGTTTTATTTATTTGGAATATGACGTAAAGTCCACAAATAATTTCAATAATTTTTTGTCCAATTTGTAAATTCAAAAAGGTGATAATATTTTAATTATTACGATTTAAGTTGAAATAATTGAATTATTGTTGTTTCAAAAATCTAAATAATTTCCGATACTTTTTCGGAACATAGACTCCAAAAACATTTTATTTCTTTTTGATTCGATTAGTTAAATTATAATAATAACTATTGATTCACTGCATCGATTTGAGTGTCTACAAATCATTTAAAATGATTCGTTTATTTTGACGACCGTGTGAGTGGAGTGAATTAAGGATCAAACTGCATGCAAGTGAATACAAATACAAACATACTCTCGCTATTCATGATTCGACTTATGTAACAATTGATCTATAGTTTAGCAAGTCATCATGTTCATCGAAGCCCATTTAAATCGATCCCTTGGAGAAAACCGACGTAATCGATTGACGTGTGTTTTTATTATTCGTTGAAAAAAAAATGAACATTGGAATCCGTTTCCAATTTATATAGATCACGTAATGCTTATGAAAGTATTTCTTTTAGCTTGAACCAAGACTCATATACACTGCACACAAAATGCTCGTGCGAATTATTTGTATTAAGATTCCATTCATTTTTCAATCAATCGAAATGTTGTCAAGTATTCCAAGTCGAAATCGGTGCCAATATGCACATTCTTTTATTGAACAATGTGAAAATGTTTAATGATTTTTTTCTGTATAATCAATTTCTCTAATACAATTTAAAAATAAATAGTTAAACTAATATTTTGAAGAGTTGTGTTTATAAAAAACAATTATAAACACAGAACGAATGAATCTGTAGTTCCCAATATTTGGATTGATTTTAAAAGCCGAAAGAAATTGAATAAAAACCAATTATAACGATTTGTCAAATTGGTGAACGTAATGAATAAATTAACTTAATCTAACACTTTTTCTCTTGATACAGATGAAGGTGACATTGCAAAACTGGGGCATTTACAATTGCCTTAAGTTTATAATAAAATAGTTTTAGACGAATAGACGTCATCTTCAAAATAAAGTGCAATTCTGAATCTTCAATGTGCTGGAAAATATTTATCTACAATTGAAATGATTACATTGGCATTGCTGTGTTTAGTAGATTTCTGAAATCTTATTCTATTCATGTCCTTTGATCTGTTGACTTCAACATACTTTAAAATTATTATTTTCGAAAGTTGCTTTTCCATTTCTCGCTTTAATGGTTGCTTTATTTTTCCAAAGTTAAACAAACTTTCCATCATACCACTTTACAACTATTTATAACTAGCTTCTTTTTAAGAGCTAGAAAAAAACATAGTTTTCTGCTATTGTTATTGCTCAAAGAATAGTAGAAATAGAGAAAGAGATTTAGAGAAAATAATGATATACTACTGAACAAATTAAAATGTCGAAATAACAGTAGCTAAAAATTATTTAAAAGGTTTAAAATGATTTCGTGTTTCCAATTAATAAACAGTTTTTTATCATTTCATTCAATCGGTTTGTTTTTCTTTTTACAAATTTTTGAAGTAATGGGACCGAATGGGCTTAGATCATGCGATTAGAAATTTGATTGTTGTCCAATCCAATCAAAATATTTGAATGTTTACATACATTTTAATTATGTTTTCAGTCATAAAATTTAATGCCTTAATTTAGACAGAATGGAATCAAAACCACGTTGGAAAATACATAAGTTCCATTCATGCTTTACCTACAAAGCAGTAACACCATGATAATTGAAATCATTTCGATCTCTCGAACACATTTTTCAGAAACATAATAATTACATTTCACTTCCAATATTCAAACGAGAAACGCTTTACAATTTTCAATTTGGTTTTACTTTTGGAACTACATAAATAAATTCTATTCGCAATTCCAGTTTTGGATCATTCTTGTGATATAATTTAAGTAGAAACACTGCAACGTAACGCCCAAATATTGTTTGTGGAATGAACGTAAAACGTGAAACTCCGATAAATAATCTAATTAAATAATTTAAAACACCTTAAGTTGAGTTCACAATATGAAGAAATTTATTTGATGAATTTCTAAAAAACTTTTGTATGCATTTCGACAAAATTTATTTGTCATCTTCAGCAACACGCAAAAGAGAACAAAGAGAAAAAGTATATGCGACAACGGAGTCGGTGTTATGTGGGCCAATATTTGAGCTTATAGGATGGCATACGATGGAGCAGGGTCATGATAAACTATACACAAGAAATGATTGAAATCATTCTTCTGCACAGAAAGAAAATATCAGCCGACGCTATACGCAAAACCGACTGGTACGTGCGCTTATACGTTTTTACATCTTTTACATCTATTACCATACGATTTTTCGGCTGTGCGAAGATACGCACAAAGAGTAACGAATCAGTCGAAAAATCGTATGGTCACTAGATGTAAAAGATGTAAAAACGTATGAGCGCACGTACCAGTCGGTTTTGCGTATAGCGTCGGCTGATATTTTCTTACTGTGTGCGAGTTATCTAATATCAAAATAATTTTGGATTTTTTCAATTCTCAAACAAACACAAAATTATAACAAACAAAGAAGTATATAATCTCAATTTTTTATGGCAAAGCTGTTACAACTTAATTTACAGCATAAGAACTACTCCAAATTAGTTTAACAGTTATACACACCCCTGTATTTCAAGTTTCATTTTTTAAGTATTTTTTAAAAAATAATGACGATTTCGATTGACGAATTGATTTTTGTTAAATGTAATGGAGTGATGAAATTCCAAGTGATATACTTATTTTCTCATGATTTGAAACCAGAAGTAAAATAGTATAATACTCTCATACTCTTAAAAACTTCCCCCTCGAATGTTCATCAAGATTTGCGTTTGGACGAAGCCACTTAAAATTTGGAAGGGCAATTTATTTTCTAGCTAAAACGTCAAAAATACAATAAAATCAAATAAAATTTATCCAGTTTTATTTTTAAAAACTTTATTTTTCAATAAATAATTCTTACTTTTTCGCACACATAGTGTGGGAAAGGTATTGTATTAGGACAAAAAAGTCACTCCAAAACATGTTTTCAAAATCTGATTTTATTAAATGGTTGAGGACTGAGCGAAATTGGCTGATTGGTGTAAAGTGTATGGCCATAGGGGTATACATTAGGGTGGAAAAACATGTCTACACTTGGAAAAACATGTCTTATGGTCTCCACATTCAAGATATAAAAGAATTTTCATCTTTCTCTATTTGATATAAGTCAGCGACTTGAAAATAAAAGGGGTCCATTTCAATGGGAAATCATAAAAAATCACCGTGAAAACTTGTGAATCTCATCAGCAGGTTTGAGGAAATTTCAAATATTATATTATTATAATAATAAAAATAAGGTTCCTATACAATTTTTTTGTTTTTTGACGTCTGTGTTTGTTTGATAGAAATTTAATCCCCACAGTTTCAGTTTATTCCCGATTTCGGTTTCATGCGAAAAAGTTAGTTTGCGTATGTAAGCCTCTTTATGTTTTTCAACTAAATAACAATTCGAGTACGCTTACTCGCACTTGCGGTGTTAGTAGAGGCTTTACCCCTCAAAATGAGTTACGCACTCTATTTAACTCAATTTTTGGTGTTAGTTTCATCGAACGTATGTGACGATACACAGACTCATATGCACGCAACGAAACATAACTCGTTGAACGCATGCGGCAACGTACATATCTCAGTGGGCAAAATTTTTCAAAGTAGTCTAAAATCGCAAAAAATTTCGGTGTATTTGTCCAATTTTGGTGTATTCAAGCAAAATTTGAATTTTTTAACGTATTTTTCTAATTTTTTTGGTGTTAATTTCGGTGTATTAAATACACTGCGATATTTAGTGTAAAAGAAACCTTGAAATTAAGCTTTACAGGAAAAATATACACGAAATTTAAGTAACGCAGTGCGAGTAAGCGTACTCTAATACTTGTTTCTGTGTACAGCTAACATCGTCGTGTCTTATATATTCCCCTTTTCTTGAATTTCATTCTACATTTTATTTTGCAAAACTTTGTTTTTGTATGCAATGAGATTATATCACACACTAAAATGTTCAAGTGTCACTTGAAACCAACTAGAAATAACAATAACAACGTTATAATTATACGAATATCATGTACAGTCATAAATATAAATAT